CCTGCCTCCGCCCCCCAGGGGCTGGGATTAAGGGCTTCCCCCCCCCCTCCCCAGCCTGTTTCTATTTTTTTTTTTTTAAGAGTTTAAAAAAAGACGGCTTTAGATCTTTTTTGAAAGTCTGATAGAATTCTGCTGTGAATTCATTCTGGGCTTTACTTTTTTAAAATTCGGTTTCAGTCTCCCCATTTGTTTTCAGTCTGTTTAGGTTGTTGACTTCTTCTTCTTCTTGGTTTAATTTGAGTGGTTTGACTTAATAAAGAAATTTATCCTTTTTTAAAAGATTTTCCAAAATAGAGTACAGGTTTTTAAAGTATTCTATTATAAAATTCTGTATTTTTATGATGTCTGTTTCCTTTCTCATTTCTTGTTCTGTAAATTTGGGTTCTCTCATTCTTTTGGTTAATTGGGCCAACAACCAGCTAATCTTGTTTACTTTCTCAGAGAACCATCTCTTAGGTTCATTGACCCTTTGCATTATTTACTTTGTTTTTGTTTCATTGATTTTGGCTCAGATTTTTATTATTTCTTGCCATCTAGAGAGTTTGGGTTTGGTTTGTTCTTGTTTTTGAACTTTTGAGTTGCATCATTAAGTCATTTATTTAAGAGAAGTGTTCAGTAAATGCTGCCTTTTCTGGGACACTTCCGGTAGAGGACAGTTGTACCTATGGGATGCAGAAAGCCACCAGGAACCTGGAGAGTTACATCATTGGTAAATATAGATGTGATCCTTCAAGTGCATGAATGCATTATATGATGTTGAAAGCTTTCTAAATCCTTTCTTCCAGATTTTTTTTAAGTATATGGAAACTACTGTGGTCTATATAGGTGCTTTCTTACTGTACAATAACTCACAGAACCTCTTATTTCTATCTAACTAATTTAGTAACAATTAATCCAGTGTACCCATCCATCCCTTCCCATTGCTCTCCAGCCTCACATAGTGACAATTCTACTCTCAAGTTCTATGATATCAATTTTTATTCTATATCTTACTTTAACTGTACAATACTTGTCTTTCTGTGCTTCACTTGATTTTTCCATTCCTGTCCACATTATCCACAAATGACAGAGTTTCACATTCTTTTTATGGCTAAATAGTATTTCATTGTATATCACATTTTCTTTATCTATTCATCAACTGATACACACCTACGTTGCTTCTTTTCCTTGGAGATATATATATATATA